TGACTGAAGCCACCCTTAAATAGGTCTAACGACGCTTATGCTACAGATACTGTAGAGGTAGAGCACTCTACTTGTGTCCCCCATGCTCAAACATCTTGTGTTGGAGCATAACCCAGTAGATGAGAGGGTCAAATCCCAGCGCCTTTGGATAAAGTGTTGATGAGAGGGTCATCCCTGCTCCTTTAAGTGGAAGGGTCTCTGATCTGGTCTCTCAGCCTATGGTTCATGGTGGGTAGTACCCCTTTCAGCTCTAAACCCGAATGTTTTTTAGTGAAAGTGGGAGTGGCTGCCCACAGCTGGGGCTGTAAGGTATGCAATGCCTGTCGTGACTGCAATCCATGAACCCAGTGGTGGATACCAGTGGCAAGAAGTACTGTCAAGCTTCTGAAAGTAGTCCTATTTTGTCTGGATGGCTTATGTGTCTCTTGAAGGAGAAAGCTGGTACAGTGCTGCTACCTGGGCAGTTACTGAAGTAAAAACTTTGGCCTGGTAAGAGTTTGGATAGACCATACAGAAAAAATCAATAATTGGCCTCAAAGCCCACAAAGAAGGGCTTTGCTTTCAGGATGCAAGGAATGTGTGTGCCTTTTGCATCTTCCGCTTTATGAAATAGTTCATCTGGCATCCTCTTGCCAAGCCCTACAGCATCAACTGTGGTGGTTTTTAGACAAGTACCAAGATGCTGGGATAAAGATCAGTTCCTCCAATTCCAAGTACATGGCTCCGGAAAGCAAAAAAGAGTGACTTTCCCTCTTGAATTTGGAGGAGAGATGTTGACTTAAGTGGAGTGCTGAGCCAAAAGGCAAAGCTGGGAGTAGAGTGGGGGCACACAGCAAGAGCATGAGTTTTACTTCAGAAACTTTTTTATATGGGATCCTGCAGGATATATCCAAATGTGACCACTGAGAAAAAACTGCATATACTAAAGGCAAACCACTATTAGTATTTTCTCTGAAAAAGTATATATTTGCGATATGTTTCTATATTAAAAAGAAGAAAACAAATCAAGGATTTTAATTTAACAGAAAAATCATCCTTAAAAGTATAGCTTGATTGCTGTGACCCCAATAAAAAAATATGCAACTGTAATAAAAAAGTTTTGTTTGATTTTGTGTTTTCATTTTTGACAGATTTTGAACATATGTCACTTTGTTAGACTATTCCTTAGCTTTCCTTGTTTTATTTCAGCATTTTAGCTAAGATGTGAAACAAGGGACCCTGTTACTGGTTGTCGATCAGCATTATGTTTCTATAATTGTCCATAAAACACAATTTGTTATAGTTGCAACTCCCACATATGCTAACAATTTGATGTTTAAGGACACAACAGTTAAATCTGTATTTCAAACAAAAAGAAATACAGTAATTAAGTAGATACCATATCAAAATTAGTCAAACCCAAAAAATAGAGCTTAATCATTACACTGCATTTAGAGAGGTTGCAGGGAAATTTAAGCTAATTATATATAGTATGATATTGTATTCATAAATATTCACAGCAGATCATAAAAATGCCATGTAATACAACAAAGCATGTATATTTGTAAATACCTTTTTTTTATTTTACAATTTTTAAATCATCAACACGCACACACGAGCCAGTGCAGGGTCATATTAAAATAGTTTAGAAAAAAATTATGGAAGCTAAGCTTTGAAGACATTCAAAATAAGGACTTTATATAATGAAATGTTTAGATACATCATATTTCATAAAACATAAATTAACTGATTAGGAAAATAGTAAAACATGATAACACATTTCAGTCAAAGACTTAGGAATAGGCAGTGCAGAGCAATAAATCAAAGTATTGGTCAAGAGGTTGATTCAAGAGTACAGTAAGGCAAACTTGGCAGAGTCAAGTATTTAGCAGCTTACACGCATCCCTTTTCTTAACCCATCATCATCCAAGGTTGTTTATGTGTGAGCGCACCAAGTCAATATTACACAGGTGTGTTGTTTGAGTTTACTCATTGGTGGATAAGTTGTATATTACTCTTAGCCTAACTAAGCTCTTGTCTCAGCCTTAAATGTTTAACCCCCCCTCCCCAAAAAAAGCAATATAACCAACTTTATGTAGACTTTACCTAGATAGAATAAAACCAGTTTTAGTAGCTTTTTTCTCTTTTTTCAAATCAGTGTGCAATAGCAAAAAAAATTGAAAGGTGGACTAAGTCAACCTAATACATTCATTTCTTTCTTATAACACATTTGATTCTGGTTTTGCCTTTAGCCGTAGAAAAATGCAAATACCATCGTATTGCTGAAAAACAGTTTAGCAGAATTTCCCTCTTATTGGATATTCATCATCTGAATAACTTAGGCAGCTGTAATTTATCTGTTGTCTCCTCGGGGGGTCACTGGAGTGGCTGTTGCGGTGGCCCTTGTTGTAGTAGTTGTTGTAGTTCTGAAACACAGAGTCGGAAACAGAGTGCAGAGAACAGAGGGCACGATTTTCCCCCTGTTCCCCTGAAGAAATAAAAAGAGAGAAAAAAGCCTTAAGCCAAACAGATAAATTAAAGCAATTCTAATACAACTTTTAAAGTTGTAATCATTATTATTACCTCATTGCTTTCTGATTCACTGCTTGAACTGCGACTGCCATGGCACCTCTGCATAATAAGAAACAAATTTATCTACTTTAACAGCTTGAAATTAATAAATGTTCAAAACAAAGCAGTTAGTATAAACAAAGCAGTTAGTAAAGCTTTGGTACTCACAGTTGCATGGGCACTGATGCAAAGAAGAATTAATAGAAAATACTCCATTTTTGCTTCCATGCTGTCCTTGCCTCTGTATCACAAGCAGACACAAGAATAAAAAGCCTTATAATGAATAAAAGATCAAGCTCAGCTACTAAATATGCAGATGGTTGCTTTAAGAGACTCAATTAGCCTTTAATAGCTCTCTTGTGTCGACATTGCTGTACTTCACAGGCGTTACCTCATCGCTGATGTGGCAAGGTCTGTCTCAGACAAAACTAACAAAGGTGTGAACTGTTTCAGCATTGGAATTAGGCTGTGTTTGCATAAGATTAAATGCCCACATCCGGTTATTCATCTAGGGAGACATTAATAAAAAAAACTATGTAAAAAAATGAGAAAGAAAAGCAGAAAACTTTGCAATTTGAAAGTAACTAAAGTTAAGAAAATGTAAGCTTTAAACTGAAAAAATTTTACCATCACCTTTTAAAACTGGGATTAGTTGCTTAGAACTTTCTAAAAAAAACTATACTTGCTCCATCCTTTCCAAACATTGTAATTATTTGGTTTATACATGTGGACATATTTCCTTTGTTGCAGATCATAAATAAGATACCATGTTGCAATTGTCTTCTGGGAATTTTTACTCTGGTAGACTAATTATATTGACTAATAATAATGATCTATCTTTGACATGTCCCTTAGGTAAAGCCAGAGGTTTTAAATGACCTCTACACTTTTATCATCTGAAGTAGGTAAGATAATCAAGGGTTATTAATTTGTTATTAATTTGTTGGTATGCTTTTTCAAAAACAAGTATATGTTTTTTTTCACCTGTGAGGCAAGTTATGCTCAGCAGCATAGTGTTTTTGTTTGTTTGCTTGTTTTGTTTTTTGGCAGGGGAAAAACTGGGTTTGACTCCAGAGCCTCCTGTTTTGTGCTTTTGTGTTTTTATCTTCAGTTGTTTCACCATCTTTGTATCAATGTAAGAATATTTGCCTGTGTAAATTGCTAAATCTGGCTCCAATGTCAAGGGCTTTAAATTAGTATGACGAGAAAAATCACTGTCATTCAACATGTCATGAACACTAGCAATGAGTTTTGATGTATAAACAACTCGTCCCTGGGTCGACCATAGCTATAGCTGGAAACTCATATGAGGTATGTGAAGCCAGACTGGATCATTATTTCTCTCAGACATTAAATTTCCCTTCATATAAAACCTAAATAATAGACTTTATCGGATGCGAAACCACAGTGTCTAACAGGTCCTGTAACAATTAATAAAAAAAGACTGACTTGCTACTTGCTACTCTCATACACAAATATTTTTCTCTCCCACATATAGAGATTCTTCCCTCATATAGACAAATTCTTCTGTCATACACATAATTTCTGCTCTCAGATGCATACATTCTTCTCTAACATGCACACATTATCCTCTTACATTGATACATATTTTTCTCAGATACATATATAGTGTATTTTAAATGGATTAATGTATTAATTTTCTGGCACTGCAAATTCTGACTTAAACAGGAGGTTATCAATTCACAGCATATTCTATGGCATATTTTAAGAATCTTTTTTTTTAAACTGGATAATGAAATCAATCATATCTATTCTGTTTTCTCATCTTTTGTTTTTCTATCGTTTGGAGTGAGGAGCACTGAAAATGACAATAGAAAAATGAAAATGACATTACAATGAATCCTGGATATGTCTTGATTGTTATAGAAATCCAAATATGGTCACAAAGTTCTCTTTGGAGCCTCACACGGACAAAATAATCCATAGAATCTTGTTGCATTTGATTTAAACATCTCAATATACTTTTGAAAAATATTATGTCATTCTATTTTTAATGCAGTTTACTACTCTTTAACTTATGTACTATTTTATTGTTTTAGTTGAGCTTCATCAATTTTTTTACATTTAACTTAATTATTGAACTCATTTTTGTCATTTTCACTTCTGGTGTAAATAGCCCCCTTTTCTTATTGAGGAGTGCTTTGAGTTCCATTGTCGCCCACTATTTGTTGGTAGGGAAAATTTTTGATTCAGTTAATTATAGACTCCACTCAGAATGATACATACTGTATGATGTAACTATGTCTGCCTGTCCATGGATGCTATCAAGTGTCTATAGTTCCAAATCATTCTCATAGTTTAATGATGCTGGTTCTTTTCTATCATTTTATAGTCTCTCTCTCTCTCTCTCTCTCTCAGCCCTTCTCACAACTAGGATGTAGGCTGGGGCAAGAATGGCCATGTGACCAGCTTAGAGGCTGCAAAGCCACATATTTATATACATCTTGAACAGATTCATAAAACATGTCTTTTGTTTTCTTTATAGTGTAACAGTGGTGCAAATAATATTGATTAAAAATCCCTTTAAAAGGTTCCTGTCAGTGGCACAATAGTTACCTATCAATCAGCCAAGCAGAATTTATTTGGGGGAGATATTTATTGTTTATTTAGTCATGAAATGGTCTGAAGCTGTGTTTATGTTGGCCTCTGGATTAATATAGAGTACATCAGTAAGAAAAATAACTTGGAAAATCCCACTGGAAAATAAAAAGACAACAACAACAAAGCAAGGAGCTCAATGTATGGAGTGCACAGATTGTTCCTCACAATTACAGTGGTGCACCACTGTTTGAATACAGGCAAAAGCCCCCCATTGTAATTGCTGGTCAGTTAACTGGCCCAGCCCAGTCTGATCAGGGCCCCAAACAAGAAAAGGCCAGAAGAGAAGAAGTTCTACATTCCTGCATTTTTTGACATTTGCCTGCAGTTCATCAAGCTTGCTTATTAAGCTAAGGCGACAAAAGGAAGAGGTTCGTGTTGGCTATGCACTCTCTAAAGCCTTGCTCTTTCTTCGTTGTTTTTCATTTTTCCTCTCTGTGTTTTTAATTTCACTGTAGGATCTGGTGTGTCATCCACACATAGTATCCCAGCTGTAATCCCCTCCAAAGTAGTGTTGTTATGAGCATTTGAAGTAGGAAATGTTACTTGGCGCAGAACAGTGGTGAAAATTGGAAGTTCAGTATAATACAACTCTGTGAATAGTTCCGTCTGAAATG